TGTCATCTGGCCCGGCGGTAGACAGGTTGTTTGACTTCCCCGAGCCCTGCCGCCCCCACGACCCACAGGGTCAGGGAGGACCTCTTCAGGCCCCCAGGTCCCCCAGGCCCTCAGCTGCTGGCCCCGCACCACCCAGCCCAGCGATTACAGGTGCCCCCGCAGAGACCGAACTCCACCTGCTCCCCCACCTGCTTCCGGCCCTGACCCCTGGGGAGAAACAGGAGTTCATGCTCCGTCCCTCCGTGATGGCTCCAGCGGCTCGGCAGGGACAAAGCTGACAAGAAGAGCACCCCAGGACGCCAGCCCTTGTGCCTCAGCCACGGGCGGGGGGGGTGCAGCGGACACCACCACCTCACACGCTGCTCGGGTCCCGGCCACGGCCCCTCCCTGCGGCCGCCCAGCAGCCCGGAGCTGGGTCCCCTGCACTAGCAAGGACATGGTGGCTGCCCTTCCTTTCAGGAGACCAGCACCAGCTGAGGCCCCCGGCAAGGAGCCCCGGCCCAGTCACTGTCAGCGCGTCCGGCAATATCGCGGGCCAGACTGGCGCCTAGGGTGGCTGGCCTGTCCAAAGGCCTCCAGACCTCACTGCCCCACACAGAACAGCCCAGAGCGACAGCACAGAGGAAGGTCCAGACGACACAGCCGACTTCTCCAGAAGGCCTCTCAGGGACCCCAGTCCGGGGAGCTGGCTCAGCCCCGCCTCCATCCCCTGCAAACGTTTTGAACTCACCGGAATCTAGTTCGAGCCTCACCTCCTAGGCAAGGCCCCTGGCTCCACAGGCGGCAAGAGATTTCGGGTGAACGTGTGGAGGAGAACACCCACACACACAAGGTCCGAAAGAGTTCCCGAGACAGCTTTAAAAATGCCTGGCTAATCAGGTGCTGCTCCTGAGCCAACACCCATTTCAGAGCTCCCCCCAGAGACTCCCGTGCGCCCCCATCGTTCCCCCGCCCCTCCAGCAGCGGGCAGGGCCCTCCTCCACACTCCAGGTGCCCCCGCCCTGTCCCGCTCTCCTACTGGAATGTGCGTGTGTGCACACATGCACACGCGCACACACACACACTCAGGCACGCACACACCTGCCCAGTAGCCCGCTTCACCCACAAGGCTCCAGACACACCCAGGCAGACGTTCCCAGGGCAGAAATCCCGGGGGCCTCTCTGGTAAAGGCAGGCAGTGCTCCGGACCAGCCTGCAAACCCCTGCATCCTCCAGGAGCCCGGGGAGAAACCTCGTGAAAGAATTCACACTTAGTCACTAACCCTCCGTGGGGAGGGAAAGGCACAGCCACAGAGCCCGACCTCGGCCACTCCACAGGTCACTCAGACCCGGATGTGTGGACAAGTGGCTGGCGGACAGACCAGCACACTCAGAGGCCGTGGCGCAGCGGGACGTGAGGACACAGGTCACGCCCGACCTGCCCTCTGACAGAAGCACAGCTCCCAGTGGCTACCTCCACCTCTGTCTCCTTCTTGCTCACCTCTGTCTTTCTGAGCTGCTCTGCAGACGCTCCTGGCAGAAGGCAGACCCGAGTCCCCTCCAATTCCCTAGACCAAGAGGCCACCCTTGTGCCGGCCACAGCTACGCGCTACCTCCGCCCTGAGAACCTTTCTCACAGGGCCTGGGCCACTTCCTGTTGCCCTGCAGGCACCACTTCCGAATATGGGCCTAGAGGGCTGGCCGAGACTTCTGGCCAGGCACGTCCCCGGCAGGACGCCAGCCCCGAATCTTTGCACCCTCTGCCATCACGGCCCACAGGGTGCCACGCCAGCCCCCAGTGGGGAGCGGCAGGGCTGAGGGGAACCGGCAGTTCCAGGAAACGCCAGAGAGCTCGGACCAGAAGGCTACCACTGGCCAGCTCTGGGGCAGGACAGGCCTCCCCAGGCCTCTGTCCCTTCCATCACAACTGTCCCCTGCAGGGTAGTGACATCTGTACCTGGGGAAGGAACCGGATAAAAAGGGCAGTGCCCATTGACCTGATGGGGTGGCTGGGGCCTGGGACCCCACCTCCCAGGGATAGACCTAGGGTCCAGGCAGGGGTAGAGACACCAAGGTAAAGATTCCTGCAGCCCAGAGAGCTAAGAGCCCTCCCCAGGACCCCTGGTGCTTGACCTCACAGCCCCAGCAGAAGACAGGGGTACCCACCACCCCACCTCTGCCCAGAACCCCAGACTGTTACTGATATCATGCAGCACCTCTCAAGACAGAGCCGCACCCATGGTCCAGATGGGGCGCAAAGCCAGGCCCCTGGACTCTGGAGCCGCCCCTGCTGTGAAGCCGGGTGCAGGAACCTGCCCCGCAGAAGCTCCCCAACCCAGGCCCTCATTCCACCCGAGAAAGACCTTCCTTCTCCCAGCTGAAGCCTGCCTCCCTAACCCAGCAGCCTTGTTCGTGGTTGCTCTCATTCCAGTCTAGCCTCACCTTTGTTGGGTGGGGGTAGGGGGTGGGGGTGGTCCTTACCCAGGCTGACTTTTCCTGTGGGCTCGCCACCTAGCCTAATCTTCTCTTGGGGGCCCTCACCCAGTCTCCCTTTCCCCATCCAGCCTGACCTTCCACCCAGCATGACCTTCCCTGGGTTGGGACAAAAATCCAGCCGGTCTGTTGGGGCTCTGTCTTCCCCGGTGCGGTCCTGGCTGCACAGGATACATGGCATCCTGGGACACTGTATGGGGAAAGGTGGCCGACCATCTGCGGCAGGGTCCCAAGCCACCTAGAAGCTATATATCAATTGGCCCTCTTCTCAGACCGCTGCGCAAACAGGGACCCGAAAGAGAAATGACAAGCCAAAATATCAAAGGATTAAAAGCCAGGACTCTTGCCTTCTGTGTAACAGCGCACCTGCATTCCACACCCCAGTCCGGGTCCAAGGACCGCCCTTGAACACTGCTTCCCTGTGGAGTACCCCTGCCATGCCCCACTTGGGTGCCGCGCTGCCACCCCTGCGGGTGTGCACCCCTGATGTACCCCTCCTCCAGGTTCGGTGGAGGGGGGCTGGGAGGCCCTGCACCTGGGAGATGCCGGAGCCTCAGACCTAAAAATGGCCGGGCTAGGGCCACTTGCACGCTAAGAACGCAGGCAGACAGACGCCAGCCCTGGGCACCTGCCGGTCGTTCCGCGCGGGTCCTGTGGGGCTCTCCTGTCCCCACCGTAGGCGGGGGAGGGCGCTTGCGGGTGCGGGTGCGGGTGTGGAGGTGGACCTGGGATGTGGGGCTCTCGGAGAACCGGGGGTTTCTGGGGTAGGAGGGGGCGCAGGCGGGGACTGGGGTCCCTCCGCCAGCGGAGAGGCGCATCGGCCGTACCTGGGGGAGCATCGGCCGTCGTCGAACACGAAGGTCCGGTTGGTGTGGCCCGCGCCGCGCGCCCCCGGCCACGACCCTGCGGACGAGCCCCTCGGGTTGCGCGCCCCGTCGGGGAGCGGCATGCGCGGCGGCAGCGGCTCAGATCCGGAGCCCAAGGAAAAGCTTCTTCGCTTGGCTCCGAAACACAGCACTTTCTTTCTCCGAGCAGAAGAAAGCCGGCTTCAGGGTCAGGGTTCGGGCGCCAGGCCGGGCGCGCCCCCTGCCGGCCGCGCCGGGAATGGCGGCGGCGGAGGACCGGGCGGGGGACCAGGCGGGGGACCAGGCGGGGGACGGTCGGGGTCGGCGCATCCCCACCCGGGACCCGTCCCCACCGCGGCGCTCGGAACCCTCGTAACCGCGAGAAACAGGAGACAGCGCTTTAACGCTGGAAAACCCCAAGGTCGCCAGAGGGCGTCTCGCCTCTGGTGGGAGGGGCTCAGTCCTCCCAGGGAACCCCCCCCTCCCCGCCCCGTCCCTGGAGGTCCAGCAAGACGAGCAGCTGGAGCACTGGCACCGAGCGCCCCAGAGACCTGCGGGGCTCTGGGGCTCCGAGCAGCGCTCCCCTGGGGAGTGAGCTGAGAGGGTGGCGAGAATCCAGGGGCGCAGGGCAGGCAGAGGGCCCATGCGTGGCCAGAGGCAGGGGTGGGGAGCAGGCAGGCCAGCCGGCGCGGCGTGCTGGGGAGGCACAGGGAGGGACCCGCGGCCGGGAGCTGTCAGCATGCCCCCTGGCTCCTGGGGGAGGGTGGCCCTTCACTGAGATGGGGCGCCTGGGAAAGGGACGTGTTTCCGGGGACAGGCGCACGTGGACTGCAGGCTTGCGGGCCTCCAGGGGCAGGTGGGCATCCTCCAGCCGTCCCTCGCCGACCCTGCGCCCCACAGATCTCCGTCAGCCGTCCTCAGACCAGCCTTCCCACTCTCCTCTGGGACCCCCGAGCCGGGTTCCTGGCTGCGCAATGTTCCGGAAACTCCCGTCTCCTCCTCCTCCCCCCACATACCTGGGGCTGCTGCCGCCCCAGGAAACACAGACTGCTCCGCGGAGGGACGAGCCCTACCTGCCGCGTCTGGCGTCCTGACACCTGGCCCACGGGAGGGACAGCGCCCGGAGGAGCCTGGGCTCCTGCGGGCTCCTGCTTGGGAGGCCGGCTGCCCGGCCCTGTCCAGGAAATCCCCGCCCTACCCCCCTGTCCCCTCCTTCCCGGGGTAGTGCTTCACCTGCGTCCCCCTCCCTGGTCGGGCTCCCTGCGGGCAGGGCCCCTGCCTCTCAGCTGACAGAGCCCAGCTCGGGGCAGCACCCAGGGAGGCCCCAGCTGAGTGCGCGCGGCCCGGGAGGAGCACCCAGCCCGGGCCAGACTGCGGCCTCCGGGCCTGCCCGCCCAGGCCACCCCTTCACGGCAACTTCCGCTGGGAGAAGCTCGGAGGCCCGGGGGGCGGGGGGCGGGGCGGAGCACGTGCCTGGGCAGGGCAGGGGCACGTGGGGCAGGGGCGCACGTGAGTGGGCGGAGCCGGCCAGACGCATGCGTGGGGCGGGCGCCTGGGGGGTCCCGGGCGTGCGGTTGCCTCCTTGCGGCTGCGCTCATGGCGTCCCGGGGGCCTGAGGGTGCTTTTGGGGGGTGCAGGTGAGGACCTGGGGGGGCGCTGGAGGGGGTCAGGTGGAAGGCCTCTGCTCAGGGGTGCCGGGGGTGGGGGACTGAGCTGCAGGTGCCCACCCGGCAGGACCCCCTGGGGCAGAGCACCGGCCGCAGACCCTGTGGGGGGAGGAAGGGCCGAGGGGGACCCTGGCCAGCATCACCCCCCACCCCTGCCCCGGCGGCCCCCCAAGGACGTCCATGAGGGCCCCTGGGTCCTGCGGCGTTTTCCGGGGTTCACGGAGCTCCGCACTCTCGCCTGTCCTGGGCAGCGGCTCTTCCCCGTCCAGCGGCCAGGGCGCCCGCCCAGTCGGGGCGCCCCCGGAGCCTTCGGGCTCCCGCTCCCCCTCCGGCTCCGGCTCCCGCTCCGGCTCCGGCCTCCCGCGGAACGTGCTCAGCGAGAGGGAGCGCAGGTGGGTGGAGGATGGTCCCGGGCTTGCAGTGGTGGTGTAGCGGGGGCGGCCGAGGACATCAGATTCGGGGCTGTGACGCGGGTGTGGGCAGCTGGAACAGGGATGTGGGGGCCATGCAGTCAGGGGGCAGTTAGCACGCGGTAGGCCGAGCAAGAAAACCCAAGGGAGGGGCTTCCCAGGGCCCACCTCTGCAGCCCCCTGTCTGACCGCAGTCCTGGGCTGCTCAAGGGTGTGCTTCTGGGGTCTGGGTGGGGGGGGGCGGGAATCCAGGGCGCGGCTGGCCATGGTTGGTGCCAGCGTCTGGGTGGCTTGTGGCCGGCGACCCTGAAGGGCTCACAGTGTTGGGAGAGCTGACCAGTGGGGAGCCTGGGGCGGCTCCGATGGGCGCTCCGGCAGCCGAGGCCCTTGCCCTGGCCAGGGCCAGGTGGGCTGACGGACACTGTTGCTTGTCTGGAAGCAGGAAGCGGATCTCCGTGAGCTGCGAGCGCCTTCGGGCCCTGCTGCCCCGGTTTGATGGCCGGCGGGAAGACATGGCCTCGGTGCTGGAGATGGCGGTGCAGTTCCTGCGGCTTGCTGGCACCCTGGTGCCCAGCCAGGAGCCGCGCGCTGTGAGTGGTGTTCAGGCCGCCGGGTCGCGCTGTGCGGAGGGGCCGCTGTGGGGCATCTCCCACCCCCCAGAGGGCGGCAGCTCCGACCTCCCTTGCCCCCTGCGGGGCAGCCAGGGTGGTGTGATTTTGGCCGGCATTCTCTGTCTCTGCCGGGTCCAGCTGTCCGTGGGCGGCCTGCACCGGCGAGGCGGGAGCCCCCCGGGAACCAGCTCGGTTCTGCCATCTGCAGTCCCTCACACCCCCTCTGTCCCCTGCTCTGCTTTTCGGGCTGGGGTCTGCGCTCAGGCTGAGCCTCTTGGACCCCCGCAGGGCAGCCCCTGACAACTCACAGCCTGGTTTCCTGGGTGTGTTGCTTGACTGTTCTCGTTTAGGTTGCTTGTTTCCATTTTAGGTTCTTGGTCTTTCCAAGGAGACGTGGCGCGAGTGGCAGAGGGATGTTACGCAGCAGGCCATGTCGCGTTCGAGCGCAGCAGGGCCCCCAGACTGCGGCACGGGAGCCTGTGGGCTGACTGTGTTAGTGTCCCCTGGGTGGCTGGGGAGCCCGCGGGGGCAGCAGACGCGGACCGTTCAGGCTCCCCCTCTGTCTTTGTGTCACTAGGCCACGGGCTCCTCCCAGTTGTGTGACCGCGGGCGCAGGCGAGGGCGAGGCCCCGTTGGGGGTGGCCGAGGTGCCGGAGGGGCCGCCAGCCCTCCCTGGTAAGCAGGGGCGGGTCCCAGCGCAGATGGGGTTGGTGTTCTTGCCAGAGAGGGGACAGGGGCGTGCTGCAGGATGGCTTCTGACCCCAGGGCATGGGGGTGGGGGTCTGTTCCTCTGTAAGGGTTGGGCACCCGTTGGTGGTTCTCTTCTCGTGATGCACCCCCGTGTCAGGGTGAACCTCAGGGACCCCGTGCTGCCCTTAGCTGTGGTGAACACAGGTTAACGGGCGCCACCAGGGGCAGGGGTGCAGCTGAGGTGCCCCGGGCTTCTCAGCTGCAGGTGGGGGGCCGCTCTTGGCCTGTCCTGGTTTCCTGTTCTCTGCCAGGGAGCAGGGTCCAGGCTTCTGCTCCCCAAGGACAGGCCCCCGGTCCTCCTTCACCTTGGGCCTCTGGGGGCCCCCGGGTCCTGTCCTCGTGCCTGCTGCTGGCCACTGTTGTGTCCGGCTCTTGAGCGGCCGCCACGCAGCCTGGGCTTCTCGGTGCCCTCCTGATCCTTCTGTAATCGAGTGAGTCACGGGCTCTGCACGGGGAGGGCCTTTGTTCTGTGCCAGCCAAGCCCCCAGGGCATTGCTGATGACTGCTTCTGCCTCATGCTGGACCCTGCACCCCAGCTGTCTGTCACTCCTTGGGCACGAATGGCTGTGAGGGCCTTTAGGCCCCATGCACGTGAGTGCCCCGGGAGCCAAGGATGCCTTCTGATTGCCTGGACGTGCCCACGGAGCAGGGGAGGGGGCTTGCTGTCACCAGGCCTGGCGGTGGAGCTGGGGCCTCCAGGGAACTTTGGGAGCCACAGGCAGGGTGTGAGGGTGCAGAGGTCACATGGCAGGAAGTTAGAGCTGAGGAGGGAGGCTGGGGTAGGGACTGTGGGTGGATGGGATGGGGTTCCAGATCTGAGCCCCAAGGGCTGATCTGAGGCCAAGCAGGTGTTTTCTCTGAGAAGCTTCCATGGCCCCGGGTGTCCATCTCCGGGTCATCTGTCTGCCTCCTGCTTCTGAGGTTTTTTTGTCCCTGTGCCGGGGACAGCAGGCAGGGGCCGAGGGCTGCTACCCATGTGGGGAAGGCCGACCTGCACCTCACTTCTGCCGTAGAGCCCTGCAGCCTGCTGTCCCAGCCCCCAGGCCCAAGTCCCTCCAAGGCGCTGAGGCTGCCCCCACCCTGGCCTCCCCGTTTGTGGCAGCCACCCTCCCCCCTGGTGAGCGAAGAGGCTCAGAGCTGCCTGGGCCAGGCTGGGCCCCCAGTAGAGGGGGCCGACCCTGTCGTGACACTGGACACCAGGTGGGTGCCCTGCTGGGCGTTTACAGCAGTCCCACACACCTCCTTCCAGTTCTGCCCACGCTCTGCCCGCCCCCACCCCTGGGAAGTCTGTCTTCCTCGCTCCCTGTGCCTGGGCCACAGCTGCCAGCCCAGGCCCGTTTGAGCCAGACGCCGCCATGTGGCTTTCTGACGCGTTTCCGAAAACGTTGTTATGTTCCTAGCCGGTCTGTGTTTTGGCTGATAGTAAACGAGTTTGTGTTTTGTGAGCACGCACCAGCTGGGGCGTGGGAAGGGATCGTGGCAGAGGCAGGGGGTGGGGGGGAGCCAGCAGAGGCAGGGGGATGGGCCAGTCCGTCCTCAGTGGGCAGGCTCAGGGTCTGGCGGGGAGGGAGGGGCACCCCGTTCATCCTGACCCTGAAGCCACTTTTGAGGTTCTGCACCTTCCTCTTGAGGTTCGAGGAGTGGCTTCACCTGGGATCGCTCAGGGTGAAGTCTTCTGGTCCCATTCAGGCCCGTGTTGGGATGTGACGTGGAAGACGGGACGTCCTACTTGCTGAACGCCGGTCCCGACTGGTGGCTGGGTGAGTGGGGGTGTGCGGCCTGGGCCACTACTGGCCGTGATGAGGGCCAGGCCTTGGGGCCTCAGCCATTCTGGGTAAGGGGCTGGGCAGCTGGCTGGGATTAACGGGGAGATGTGAGCGGGCTTACACCAAGGTCCTGCTGTTTCTGAGCCTCTATTTTCTCCCCGCTGGTGGTCTTCAAGGGTCATTGGGGTGGGGAACGCAAGGGAACGTGTGTGTACATGGAGCGTCTGTGAGCGTGGTGTGTGGAGCTGGTTGTGTCTTCTCTGCCATTCGGGGTCTGTGCTTCTCTCTAAATGTTCCTGCAAGGGCATCTGGGCGGGAGATGAGCATAACGTCTGTGAGACGAGTGTGGTGGGAAACGGCCTTGTGTTGTCCTCTGATAGGTCCTCCTGGGTCTCAAGCAGGGCCAGCGGGAGTGGGCTCGCCCACCTGTCGTGGCACTCAGGAGCCAAGGGCTTCCAAGACAGGCGGGACGGAGGCAGTCCTGTTCTGCACCTTGACCCCACTGTGCCCGGCCCAGGTACCCAGGCTCATGTGTCCCATCTGCTTCCAGGGTCTCTGGAGGGCAGAGGTGCCAGTGCCCCTTCTCGGAGCACAGCCAGGAGCAGCCTGCTGGACAGGGCAGAGCCAGGCTTCCTGACAGACCCCGAACCCGGCTCCCAGGAGCTCCCGGATGGCCCTCTGGAGCCATGGGGCTTGGATGTGGGCTGCCCCAGCCTGGCCCTGCGGGAGGAGGTGGACAGTATCTTCCCCGACTTCTTCCCCTGCTAGGCGGCGGGGAGGGCCCGTGTCTCACATGTCCGTGTGGGGTGCCGGGCAGCTTCTTTTGGGTTTGGGCGGCCCCTGTGCCCTGCTGTGGCGAGGCTGGGGGCCGCAGTGGGTGGAGGCCGAGGATTAAAGGCAGGGCGGTGTTCCTGCAGAAAGCGGGACTTCCGGAGCGTCTGTGTAATCAGTGCCATTCACTGGGCAGATGGCACCGCTTCCGCTCAGAGCGCGGGCACCTGCCTCGCGTTTTGTTTCTGCGACGTTCTTGGCCTTGCGGACTCCCTAAATAGCCCTGCAGCCTGGGGCGGGCTCCAGGGGCTGAGAGTTCTGTGTTTCCGGCCTGCTCCCAGGAGAGGCAGGCGTTGGACCCCACCTCTCACACCCTGAGGCTGGTCTGGGCTGTGCGGCTCTCATGGCCCAAGGGTTTGTCGGGGGAGGCCATGGTGCTCTCAGCTGCAGCCAGGGCCCCAAGGGAAGGGCTGGCTTCTGCCTTCGAGGTGGGGACCTCTGCACTCCCCTCTCGGGGGCTGTGGGCTGGCCTGGGGCAGAGGCCACTTGGTGTCAGCATCTGGACCCTTCTCCTGGCGGGCACAGCTCCAGTCCTAGCTGCTCCTGACCGCTGTGATCTGGGGAAGGCCTGGGTTACTGGGAGGAGCATCCCAAGCCCCCGTGGTTGAGTGCGGCTGACCCTGCCCTGCATCTCACCACCTTGCAGCCACAGCAAAGGCGGGTGTCCGTCTGTGACCCAGGCTGGGTGGGGCTTCACTACTCTGTTCCTGCTCATCCCTTTCTGGAGACGCTGGGCTCCGGACACCCCCGTGATCCTCCAGGCCAGCAAATGCTCCAGGAGCTGGGGCGTTTTTTCTTCCCAGGAGAGTAGGTTCTCCTGACTGTGAGTCCTGAGCCCCCCCGCCGCACGCAACCCCCCAGGTTGCCTGCCCCGCACCTGCACGCATTTCCATTCCTGCAGCGAGAAAGTTCCATTCATTCTGTGAAGCACTGCAAACAAAGGTGAGGAGCAGCTGGTGTGGGGTCGAAGCGCTGGTAGCGTGAGTCCTCGGTGGGGCTGGAGGGGAGCCAGGCAGCGGCTGTGGGGAGGGAACCTTGGGGAGCCCAGGTGCTCACGGGGGCAGTTATTGCCCCTAGACCCCAGTCCTCAGGACGTCCGTGCTCCTCATGTGCGTGTGTTTGTGGGCATCGGTACTGATGCGTGCACACGCGTGATTGTGTGTGGTTCTCGAGTACAGGCCTCTGCCTCCCCTTGACAGGGTGGGACGCTGCAGGGGCCCTGCTGTCAGCCCAGCACCCTGAACCCAGCTGTGGGTGACCCTGAGGCAAGCGCCTGGGCCCTGCCCCTGTGAGTTTCTGGCTCCCTGAGCCCAGAGCGGGGGACCTGGGGTAGAATCCCTGAGCCCCACTTGGGAGCAGGTCTGTCTCTGCTGGGGGTCGCTGCAGGGCTCCGTGGAACCTGCAGCTGTTTCTGGTCAAGCTGACCTAGAACAATCTGGTTCTGAGCCCCTGGCTGGCCACCTGTGCTCCCTGCCCCCACGCTGACCTCCGGTCAGCACCCAGTGAGGGAGATCAGGAGCCCCAGCTGAGGCCCTGGAGAACAGAGATGAAACCCTGCCCCAGCCCCAGGCTCTCCCTTGGCAAGGGGGGCACGAGGCCCTGTCTCAGGCGGCAGGCTTGCTTCATCTTGAGCCCATGGAGGGGGCACCTGGAGGCCCGGTGTGGGCTTGGGGGTAAGAGCAGTGGGTGACCAACAATGCCTGCTCCTCCCGCCCCCCCCCCCCCCCAGTGGGAGGAGGGTGCCCTGGAACCGGCATTCGCTTCTGCCATGGCCACGTGGTCCCATGGCCCCTGCTCTGCAGGCCGTAGGAGTATGGGCACAGAGCCCCATCCCTGAGCTGGCTGGGGCTTGGCCTCCCTTCTACGGACAGTGACATGCAGGGGAGGGGCAGGCAGGGCTCGATGGCGGAGCCCCCAGGTGAGCGGGAGGGGAGAGGGGCTGCCGCTGGGCCTGCTGGGGGCTTGGCTGGAGCTGGAAGGAGCTGCAGGGTCCAGGGAACAGCCTGCTTCCCATCTATTGTCCTGCTCTCCAGCCCTTTGTGACCCAAATTTAGCACTTCGAGGTGGTACTCATACCTGCGTGTGCTCGAGGGTGGGTTTGGAAAGCCGTTGGCTGGAGACTTTGGGCTTGTTCTGGGGATTTGGGGGCTGGCTGGGGGGCTTCAGCACAACCTCCCCTCCAGCTCTCAAGGTGACCAGCTTCCCTCCCCACTGCCCCCACCACGAGGTTTGCCTGGAAGTAGAACACACAGAAGGGACACGGTCCCGCAGGACCCCGGACGCCCTCAGGCCACACCCACACCCGACACGCCCACGCTTCCCTTGGTTTGGGACGTCTTGGAGGGGCTGTGTCCACGGCTTGGTGCCAGCCGGCCGTTGGGCTGAGCGCTGACCGCTCACCATCCTCGGCCCGCCCCTCCCCCTGCCCGCTTGCTTCTCCATCCCCCTGCCTTCCCACCGCTCCTCTTGCTCCGTGGGCCTCGCGGCCAGTGTGGTCACCATGCACTGGGGTCTGGGTCGAGGTGTTCAGTTCTGCTCAGTGAGCTCATCCAGTTCTCTGGCCACATGGGTCCTGCTGGAGGACTGGTTGCTCCGCTGCTGGGGAGGGGGTGCCGTCCCGGAGCCCCTCCTTTCCCCCCCCAGGCTCTGATCTTCCCTTGGCAGGACAGGCATATCCTCCGGCTCCCATCCCAGGTGGCCAATGAGTGAGCGAGAGGAAATTCTCCAGAGACCCTCGCTTGACTGGCCAGGCCTCACTGTCCCCCACACTCCCCCCTACAGACCTAAGGGAGCCAGAAACCTGCTCGGCACAGCTCCAGCCCCACCCTTGTTCACTGGCCACCAGGACACTTTTTCATCCCCCTGTGAGCCCTGCTGTCCCCCAGCCTATCACCTGATCATGGTGGGGTGCTCGTGGCTGAAAGGGGGCCTCCAGGCCTGCTCACAGCCAGGTCCCGTGCCCTTTGCTCAGAGGATGATAGGTCCCTCTACCCTTCCTGGCCACCCCCCGCCCCCGCCGTGTGCTGGCAGGGCATTCGCGTTGTGGGGGCAAGATGGGCTGGGCCCGTCCTGGAGGGTAGCAGGTGGTGGGGCTGGGGGCTCCGGGGTGAGAGCAGCTCGGCTGGCATGAGGAGGAGCAAGGAGACAGGTGCTCCCAGACCGTGACCCAGACGGGCGTCACAGGGTGGGCCAGGGGTCAGCGCTGCCCCAGGATGAGGGTTGGCAGGAGAAAGGATGCGGAGGTGGGACGTGGGAACAGCCAGGGGTCCAGGGAGCCAAGGAGAAGGAACTTGTTGCCCCTGGACGGGTGGAAGCAGGAGAGGATGGAGTTGTTGACCTGCTGGGGACCCGAGGCCTGGGGCCACTGAGGTGGGCAGCCACCGCACGGCTGGGGCTGAGGAGGTGGCTCCCCTATTGGGTCTTGCTGGAAGAGAGGAGCTGGAAAGACCCTTGGTGGGTGCAGGTGGCGGTGTGGGCTTCTGATGGAGGAGGCTGGGGTGGGGAGCGCGGAGGGGGCTGGGCAGGGAGGGCCCCTGGGTGCTGGGGGTGGCCTGGGTGTGGGTCCCAGGGGCTGGGAGCCTCATCCCAACTACAGGGGTGGGAGGTTCCCTCTTCTGACTGCCAGCGCAGCCAGCTCCCCTTCATGCAAGGCTGATGCAGGCCTTGGTGCCGGACAGTATGGCCTGCCCCGAGAGACTTCCTTGGGGGACCCTTGGCTATTGGCAAGAGCCCCCTGGTCTCAGCCAGGGGGTGGGCTCAGGGGTGGTGGCCCTGGGGGAGGATGGGCCTGTCTGCTATGGGGTAGGGAGCCTGTGTGCAGCTGGGCGCTAGTGGAGGGGAGCCTGGGGGTCTTAGGTGTGTATCAGAGGGGGCGGCGGGCACGCACCTGCCAGGCCTGAACAACTTAGGGAGGAGGAAGATGCAGCGGGCAGCATCTCCTGCTGCCTGCCCAGTGGCTGTCCCTGCCCTCAGGGTGTCGGCCACCATCGTTTCGCAGACACACACGTGTGTGTGGCCAGAAGGGGCTCCTATGCGGGGACCAACCTGGATTGGCAATGCTCGCTGGCTCTGCCCCCGCGAGACTTGCTTCTGTCCCTGCCAGGTGGAAAGCCCCAGGACCGAGGGGACCAGGCTGCCCCGGGGTCTGGCCTTGCTGACTCCCTGTGTTGTGTGCGGTCATCCCTTCTGAACGGCACCCTGGGAACCCCTCGCAGCTTCCCCGCACCGTGTGGACGTGAGCCTGTGGTGAGCTTGGCTCATCACCAGGAGGGGAGGGTTTCCATCTCTGACCGCTGTGGCCCTGGCCCCGTGTGGTCACCAGCCAGAGCCCCCCCACAGAGCACGCTCGGTCTCGGGGTGGCAATCCTTTACTGGACACACCAGGAAAGGTCTCCAGGAACGGGGAGCTTCCTGGGGGGTTGGCAACAGTTGAAGGGCTCCTTGGGTCAACTGTGAAGTTTTGGTTCTTCAAGGGGGCAGCTCCTGTGAGCGAGAGGTGGCAGGGTGGGTTCCGCACTGCCCTGGGCTCTGCCCCCGCGCCGGGGGCTGGGGAGGTCTGTCAGTGAGCAGGACCTCATCCCCGGTCTGCTCAGCCATATCCCTCCTCCTCCAGACTGGCCCTGAGCCTCTTGGCAGGACCCCCAGTGCCCCAGGCTGGCCCTGCCCCTGTCAGCGTTTGGGGGGCCCTCTGGGCATCCCCACCTCGGTCCTGCCCAGCAGAACCAGCAGCTTGAGTCCATGCCATCAGCCCCCAGCTGCACCCCATGGCTGGCATAGCCAGGGCTCAGTGTGTGTGGAGTGGCACTTGTCCCTCATCACCCCGGCCTTAGGGGGCCCCTGTGCCACAGTCCCTGCAGGGTCAGAGGTCACTCACCTGGGCCCAGCGGCCTGCCTACTGTCAGGCATGCAGGCAGCAGTCTGTGAAGAGGGGTGTGGGTTGCTGAGTGGGGGGTCTGGGCTGTGCCCTTCCAGCCTCCGGGGCTGGGGTGGGGGTGGGCACTTACCGGTTCGGGTCAGGTTGATGATGTTGGCCGGGCTAATCCCGTGGCTTTTGCAGTAATTCTTAAATGTCTGCATGACGTCCCAGCTTGCGGGAGGGGTCCGGCCTGCAGACACAGCAATAGGGGCTGTCCCTCCGGCAGGTCCTTTGGGACAATGGGCAATGGGGTTCTGCGAGCTTGGAGACAGCCCTGGATTCTCAGGGTGCAGGCAGGGTTGTGGGGACGAACTGCCGTGACCAGAGTGGGAGGGGTGTGCTCAGAGGGCCCCATGCCAGGCCGGAGAGGAGGCAGGGGGCCCCACAGAGTGACGCCCGGCCCTTGGGTGGGGTCCGGCCCGTCCTCTGGGCCCTGGTCCTGGCTGTTCTGCCAGTGACGCCTTTGTTTACTGCACGTCAAGATAAGGGGCCGGTGTCTGGTTCTTGGCTTGTTTCAAGGCCAGCAGAGCAACACAGACGTGTTTGGGAAGTATTGTGGGGACACAGGTGGAAGTTCGCCGTCCCCTGCCCTGCGGCCCCAGCCCCAAGGACCCACTGCCCGCAAAGCAGAAGCAAGCGGTGGGAGGGGCGGTGGTGCCTGCCCGCCCAGCTGGTCAGCCGCTCCTCGCCCTCCCCAAACGTCGCTCTGCCCCGGGGCCAGCAGTCTGTCCTCCCCCACCCCCCGCATGCCGAGTGCTGAGCCGGAACTCCTGGCCTGGGTGCGGACGCTTGGACCTGACCTCACTGGCCCTTCAGGTCTGGGGGCCCAGCACGGGCCGTGCACTAAATCAGATCATCTTCATGCTCCCTGCGTGGCTGGATTGGGTCCCCCTGAAAGGTGTGCGCAAATCCTGGTCCCCAGAACTTGGAAATGGGACCTGCTTTGGAAGCAGGATCTTTGCAGGTGTAGTAAGGGTCTTAGGACGAGGTGATGCTGGGTTCGGGATGGGCTGGAAAACCAGTGACATGTTCTTTTATGGGAAAGGGAAGGGAGGCTTGAGAACAGAGGAGAAGCCCCGTGGGGATGGAGGCAGAGCTCAGGGACGCTGGGGGCCCCAGGAGCGGGAAGGGGCAGCAGGTGGAGGGGGCTGAGCCCCTGCCAACGACTCTGCTGCTGACCCTCGCCCACCTCTGGAGACTGACCAGTGGAGCCCAACCAACAGCCCTTAACTCTGGGCCCGAGTGAGGTCGCTGGCCTCTTCCTAAATATGGACATTTCCCCAGCTGCCTTGTCTGGACGCAGCCATGTCACGCCTAGGACGCCGTGGTCCTTGAGGACAGCAGTGAGGTGTCACAGCTAACACACGGACCCCCGTCTCTTACCTGCTTTTCTTGTTTGTGGGTCTCCGTGGCCCTGGTGGCCTCGGGGAAGCAGACGCTTCTACAGCCTGGGGGCCGGCCGGCCAGCAAGACCGCAGGGGCCCCGCTCAGGTGGGAGGGGGCGCAGCATGGGTTTTCTCCAGACTTTACTCTCCGTGATGCTAAAGGAGGCTTACTTGAGCTGCTGGCCTGTTAGGTCCCCCTGTTGGCCCAGCGCCTTACTACATTCCTGTCCCCTGTGACTGTGTGGCCCCCGGGCTCCCCCGTGTCCTGCTGGCTGGGGGAGGAAGCCACTTACTGAGGAGGTTCACCACCACCGTCTCCTTCCCGTGCCAGTGGTTGTGGATGCAGAAGATGAAGCGAGAGGGGGCCACCTCCTCCGGGAAGATCACGCTGTGGCCAGCATCTGCGAATCCGGGGGCCAGCGTGGGAGGCAGGTGGTGCCGGGTTCCCCAGGGGCCAGAACTGGGCCCTGGGAGCCCTCCCGTCCCTCCACGGCCTTAGACAACTTGGTGGTCTTGAGCATTCGGGCCCCAGGAAGGGGCAGAACCAGGTGCGGGCGGCGTCCCGGCAGGTGCGCTCCTGGCCACACACCACCGGGACTCCCAGGGGCTCCCCGCTCACAGGCTGGGCGACGCTGACCCTTTATACTTACATTTCAGCATGTACTGAAATTTCTTTTTTGTTTTATTTGCCATCATTATAATCGGGACACACATGCCCTGTATCCTGGGAGAGGATGATAGGATTCCCCGGGACTCTGCGTCCAGAAGAAGTGCCCACCCACGGAGCTGGGTGGGGCTTGGTCACGCCAGACGTTGGACGTGTGTGTCCCGTTCCAGGGCAGTGAGCCCCAGCCCTGTGTCACCATGTCCCCTGTGCTCTCCAGTGTCTGGGACATGGCCGTGGGGCTGACTGGGGACAGGGCACGGGGCTCCCCTGGACCTTGGCCCCGTCTGGCACCCTCTTCCCAGATTTACCTTCTGTAGAGATGGAACTCTATGGTCTTGAGGCTTACATGGATCTTGCGGACGAAGAACATCATGTGTGAGTCCTTCCACAGGAGTTTTGGTTCGCTGGAAGCCTGGGCTATTGAGAACCAGTCGCCGTTGACCTGCCGAGCAGAGGTGGGCATGCCGGTGTGGAGGGAGCAGCTGGGGCTGGCGGGCGCCAGGCCTGTCCCCCTCCCGCCGCCCCCAGCCGCCACCTTCTCCCGCTCCAACGTCCGCGATGGCTACCATATTCTCATCGATGCTGGGGTCCCCGGGGCCCGTGTGCAGGGCATGGGGCCCCCTGAGCAGAGCTAACACCAGCACCAGCCGTGGGGTGTTCATGGTGCTGCAGGAGTGGTCGAGGGGTGACTGGCAGCACCTGGGCCTCCAGAGCCTGTGGCGCTGGCCCTTTTGTGCCCTGCAGGAGAGGGCTCCTGCCACGTGGCTGGCTGTCACGGGTTCCCTCCTGCTCATAATGACTCTGTTGACACTACCGCCAACAATGGCCACTTGACTGTTTGTCCACAAAGCCCCTGCCTGACCCGTGCTGACAGTCATGCGGTTTCCCAGAACCACAGCCCGTGCGCCTGGCTGCTTCCAGGGTCCGTGTGTCCCTGCTGGGCGCCGACCTCCAATCATCGAGTCATGGAGCTCCGGACGTGGCAGCCCTGGGTGGCTATGACGTCTCCCTGTGACAGCCGCCTGAACGGCTGAGTGCTGGGTCTTGGTGTCCAGGGACTTGGCAGGGGATCCGAGGAGGCTGGAGCGCACATGCCCCATGCTGCCGCACCGGGGCTCTGGGGGCCGTGGCTGCTCTGGGAAATGCCTCGCTGCTCTGCGTCTCTCGCAGATGGGAACCACCCATCTGGGCAGAGCAAGGCAAGGCCTGGGGCCAAGGAGAATGGGAACGGGCCCTGGGCAGCGGGCTGTGCGGGGGTGTACCCCGTCTCCAGTCTGGCCTGTTTCCAGAGCCTCCCTGCTGCAGGGTGACCTGAGCTGGGCCAAATTTGTCTGCTCAGAGAGCCCCCAGAGCCCACAGGAACAGAGTGGGCCAGTACAAGCGCAGGTTACCGTGTCCCCTACGGGCCGGGGGACCTCAGGTCCTGAGCCCCAGTGTCCTCATTGTGGACGTGCAGTGATGACTCTATACCCACCCGCCTGTTTCTTGGCTGCAGGACTCCTTGGAGGTGTTCACGGGGAGGTCTCTCCCCGCCCCACCTCTGCCAGGTGCCTGCACCCCCACCAAGGCCCGGTCACTGTGCTGTGTCCCCACCCTCGCCCCCTGTGGTCTGTGCTCATGACAATAGTGCCATGTGGATATCAGAACCGGACAAGAACCGTCACAAGGAAGGAAACCTTACAAGTCAGACTCATGACATAAGATAAACCCAGCAATATATGGAAAGGGTGATGTATTAAGGCCTTGTAGGGTTTGATCCAGAAATTCAAGGTTGGTTATTGAGAATCAACATATTTCACATGCAGGGTGGTGGGAAAGATCATATGAGCACCACGTTAGCGGCAGGAAAGGATCTGATGAGACTCAGCAATATTCGTGATAAAAACTACCGCTGTCGACACAGAAAGGAACTGCTCTGTTGGAAGGGGGATTCCCCCAACAGTCCAGTCTAGTGTGAAGCGTGGAAAACTTCGCTGGTGGGACCGTGGGCACTGTCAGCACTGTGTTGGACACGGCACTGGCCCTTCCCATAAGGGACAGAAGGGAGTATGGGGGAGAGGTCGACAAGGAATGTTACTGAGGTCATGCGTAGATCACCTGCTGTTAAGTTCGTCATGTTGGCGAGTTCAGAAAGGCGAGTGGCAGCAGGATCTGTACACGAAAAACACCGTTTCTGAGTGTGAGCGATCATAATTAGGATAGGAGCTTGAAGAGACTTTATTCGCAATTCAGAAAAAAAAAAAAAGGAACCAGAAATAAATCCAACAAAAAAATTGTGCAGACCTCCTGCCCAGAAAACTATCAGCGAGTACGAAGATATTTAGATGAACTGAATAAATCACATACCACGTCAACAGGTTAGAAGTCTCAGGACTGCAGTGTCCGCTCTCTCCCTGGGATCCACAGGGTCCTAGTCAGAATCCCAACGGGATGCGTGGCGCGTGGTCCCCACGTGCCAGGACGCTCCCACCGTTCAGGTTGGTGGAAGTCGCTCCAGCAGACCTGGGTTCTTACTGCAGAGTTTTAGTAATGAAACCTGTGTGGTATCGGTGCAAAGCTGCGGAAGAAAACACACACACCCTCCCATAAGGGGGCCCTGCAGAGAAATGGGGTAAAAGTGTTCTTAGGACTGGACGCTGGATACCCTTCAGGACAGGAACGAGCGTGGGCCTTCATTATACCCGCACAAAAATAAATCCCGGCAGGGCGCTGACTGGTGTCCTGCCCCAGAGCTGGGTGGAAAGTTCTGTCCCCGGGACCTCAGAATGTGACCTTCTTTGAGATTGGGTCTTTGCAGGGTGGCCAACCCAGGTTGACTGATGTCCTTATAAGGAGGAGGGGTTTGGACACAGACGCTTGGAAGACGGCGTGAGGACCACCACGGGAAAGACAAAGCAGAGGTTGCAGGATGCGGCCGCAAGCCAGGGCGTGCTGGCAGCCCCGGAGCTGGAAGGGGCTGGAAGGACCAGTCTCCCCCTGGAGCCTCCAGGGGGGGCACAGCCCTGTGACCGCGGATGGGGACCTTTGGGCCTCGGAATGCGGAGAGCACAGCTCTTGGCTGGTTTCGCCCCATCTGTGATCCTTTATTATAGCAGCTGCAGGGCACCCATGTGGCAGGACGGGGGCAAGTCCCGGCAGGAACAGGTGGCCTGCCCAGAGGGGGATCTGTAGAGTTCAGGGAAGGGACTGAGGCTAAGGTGTGGGAGGTGGGGGAGAGGTCAGCCAGGGGAGGGCTGAGCGGGAAGCCGCTGTGGGGCCTGCTGTGGGGCTAGCTGCAGGCAGGGCTTTGGGGAGGGACGCAGCGGGGGGGGGGGGGGGGGGCTGCAAGTGCCCCAGACTCTGGCTCCCGTCTCCTGTGGGGCCTCCCGTCTGTGGATCCTGCGGGAAGCCACCTGTTGCTGCAGCTGTAGGGACGTGGTTGTGGGTGGAGAGCGGGTCTGCAGGAAGAGGCGGAGCGTCCCGCAGAGGTGCACTGTCCGTCTGGATGTGAGAGGTAAATGGCCAAGCCTCTGAACCAGAGGAGGACTGCAGAGCACATCCTCCGGCCTCAGGGAAAAAGCCTGCAGAGATGGGACAGAAGGGGCGGGACCACTTTTAGCGAAAAGCCCACCCAGCTGGACTGTGAGGCAGTGGAGAACCCCTGTTCACTGGAAGACAAGGGGTGAAAATGCACCCAGGGCGACAAAGATGGATTGTCTCCATTGCCAGCCAAGGACTCTTCTCTGGGATATATAAAGAACACGTCCCAAAGCAACAAGAAAGCACCGATGGAGAAACGGGCAAAAGATGCTAGTTGACAAAGAGGCGATCCGACGGCTCAAAGCACGGAAGGGTGTGCAACCTCACTGGTAACCAGGGAAGGGGAATTATACGAGATTCTCGACACCCCCTGCCCCTAGCGCCCCAGAATGGCTGGAAATGAAGTGGCCACACCAGTAGTAGTGAGGATGGGAACCAGCATGAACTTGGATGCTCTGCAGCAGGGAGGTCGGTGGGTCCAGAGCCCTTAGAAGGCCAGCTGCACGGCCTGCCAGAGCCCCTGGACGTGGCTGATGCCCTGCTAGGTATGTGCCCACAGGCGCCCTGCGTCCCAACGCTCTCCACTCCGAAGTCCAGGGACGGAACCGTGGTGCTGGCTGTCCTCGGGAGGGCAGGAGGCGTCTGGTGCTCGGATTTCACAGTTGCCACGGCGACCCGCACCCCACAGAGCAGCCACCACCCACCAGAGCCCCCCGGAGTGCCAGGTGCCTCCCCAGCCGGCTGGCATGAGAGGGGCCCCCCAGCCATGCCTGTGAGGACACGGGGTGTCATTGGAGTCTCTCCTGTTGTGGGCACTCTCCTACCTTTGTTCTGAATGAAGAGGTGCAGGGGAAGGCCCGGCAAGTTTGCAGGCTCAGGGAGGTCACGTGCGGGGGCAGCACGAGCCCTCCTGGGGGTGCAGGTGGAGTGAGGCGGGGAGCCCGCCCAGGGCCCTCAGGGAGCAGCTCACAAGGTGATGGCCGAGGCTGCCCCTGCCACTGTTCCCGCTGTGCTCAGCATGGGCACCCGGGCATTTCAGGGGCAATCAGCCGTGGGGCAGCACGTGCTGGTGCTGACCCCACAAACCAGGGGGAGGAAGGCAGTGGCGGGCAGCCGTCCCCGGGACGGAGGGGTGCTGCGGTGGCGGCCAGCCTGCGTCCCAGGGTTTAACTCTGCAGCTTGTTTTTGGTCACACTGCTTGCCTGGCAGGGGCCGGCGGGGGCCAGCAGGGGCCTCCTCGGGGGTGACCTCAGTCCTTACACCTGGCCACCTGGGACCTTGCTGGCTGCATGGCAGAGGGAAAGAAAGTTTGTGGACAGCAGTCTTTGTGAGTCACTTGGGCAAAGTGACCCTGGGGATGCCCGGAACTGGGAGAACTGGAGACGGGTTGGGGGCACCCTCCATGCCTCGCAGAGGAGCTTATGGTAGAAACAGGGCAGTTGGCTCATTGCTTGGAGGTTAAATGCAAGAAAAGGGACTCGGTCGCATTCTACTCCTTCAGGGAGAGGCCCCCTGCCTCCTGGAAGGGGTGGGCTGAGCAGGGCCATGGAGGTGGGGTTGGGCTTCCAAGACACTCCCCAAATTGAGAGTCTGGAAGGCTAGGGTCTTGGGTTCTGTGTTTCAATTCGGAAAGCATTTTGGGGGCATGTTCTTGCACGATACTGGCTACTGTCTTTAGGATGCCTCGCTTCTTGGGGTCTTTATCCCCCAACTTTGGAGTGGCTGCCCAGGTGTCTCTCTGTGACCTGTGGTTGCCCATCTCCTTCCCACTCCCCTGAGATCCTGGTGGGGGTGAGGAGGCCCTCACTTGGCACAGGTTAGGCTTCAAGACACCTGCAGCTCCAGGAGCAAAGAGTGGGGGCCCAGGCCCGAGCCGAGGTGCTGCAAGTGGCCGAGGAAAAGTCCTTTGCTGGACCCCTGGACTGGGGTCCTCCCTGCTCAGGAATGGCCATGTTCTGACAGGTGGGTACTGAGGACCCTCACCTGTGCCCCCCATTCAGGTGAGCACTGGCCCCTCCTGGCAGAGTTATAGGGCATGCACAGCTTTTCCTGAGTGGGGCTGAATAGGATCTCCCCAAAATTCATATCCATCCAAACCTCAGAATGTGACCTTATTTGAGGTAAGTGTCTTTGCAGATGGAATTAAGGTAAGGCTTGACATAAAATCATCCTGGATTAGGGTGGGCCCTGAATCCAGTGATGGGTGGAGAGACAGAGGCTCACATGTGACACGGAGGGATGAGCCAGGGGAGGTGGAGGCTCGCAGCAGCAAGCCGGGGACACGGGCTCCACCATGCCTGGGAGAGGCAAGGGGCAGGTTCTCCCTCAGAGCCTTGGAAGTGCTCGGTGCCGCGGACACCCAGAGCTTGGCTCTCTGGCCTCCAGACTGCGGGCTTGTGGGGGGCGGAGAGCACGTTTCAGTCGTGTGTGGTGGCCCCAGGAGGCTAACCCACTGGGCTTGTGCCGGGTCGGGCTGCGTGTGCCCTGCGTGTTGGCTTGCCGAGCTCTTTCTTGTCTTTATAGATGTAGACATGAAGTGGGCAGGCCACTCAAGGTCATGCCATGAGCGACGGTGACAAGTCAGGACCCCACCACTGTCCCTGCCTTACTCCGCGGCTCAGCTGACTGCCTCCGTCCTCATTGTCAATCCCAGACAGGCCTCCTGGTCAGGCTAGCGTGCTTCTGGAACACTGGCTCCCAGCCACCCTTGTGTCAACGGCCCCTTGAGGAAGTCATGGGCACCTCGACCTGTCGCAGACCAGGGCACAGGTGCGGCCCAGACGCGGAGCCTTCAGCCCCCGTCGCCCCGCTCTCTGCCTGGGCATCCTTGTCGGGGACCCGATGGTGAGGGCCCTTCCCAGAAGGGTCCTTCCCGGCCCGGCCCCCGGCAGCAGTTACTGTTCCCCGGGGCCCAGGGCGGCCGTGGCAGATGGCACATCAACAGACGTGCCCGAGATGCTAATTTACAAAAACAAGAGCTGGTGTCCTGGTGGCCTCTTCCTGGAGCCGACCGGTTCCGAGGCCTCTGGCCTGGGACCAGCAGGTCACACGCTTTGCATTCTTTGTCCTCGTGGCAGGACGTCTTCGTTCTTGTCCCAGGGCCCAGGTGACCTCAGTCAGCCGTGGGCGCTGACCGCGCACTTTGTGTCCATGTGTCCACTCTGCATCATCTGCCTTCTAGGCTGTGTGGAGGTCACCACGCCGGGGCAGGACCGGGAACGCGGGGCAGCTGCTAGCTGTGGGGGGGCACAGCCCAGCTTCACGGGAGCCAGGGGGCTGACGCCCGGGGTAGGGGCTCAGCCAGGGGCTGGCCGTGGCTCTCCCGCAGGTGGTCACTGCAGTGGCCCTGCACTTTCGGCCCCTGGGGCTCTCCCAGTCCCTCATCTTTTGGGCGAACAGAATCCAGAGCCCTCAGGTGCCCTTTACTCATCCCGCCCTGCAGGGCTGCCGAGTGTCACCCGCCCGCCTGTCGTGAGCCCGGGCTCAAGTCTGCAGCTGGGTATCCCCCGTCTAGTGAGGCATCTCGGGATGGGGGGTACATACCCTGCACTTGCTGGCCATCCTCCCAGAGTGACTTCTGACACTGCTCTGTCCTTGAAGCACCTGCACACCCACAGGGCGCCGGTGGCACTGGCCCGGTGGATGTGTCTGGCGAAGAAGCTGGACGTTAGCTTTTCGTTATGAACACTTACCGCCAAGATGCAGAGTGGCTCCCGTGGTTCAGCCAGCCTGGTCACTGAAGCAGCTGTCTCAGGCGATGCTAGTCTTCCCGCGCCTGCCCCACCACTGAGCACCCCTGCCAGTGTGACCCTACCCTAAATCCCTGGAAGCACCTCCTCCCACCC